CCGCCCCCCAGTGGGCCCCCACCCTCACAGAGCCCCCCCTGCCTCTGCCTCCAAAGTGCTAGGATTAAAGGCGTGCGCCACCACGCCCGGCTTCACACCTGTCTTTAAGAAGTCTTATTTGTTTTCCATTTTTCCATATTTCAAAATTAAAATATGCCCATATATATGGGCCAGAGAGACGGCTCTGTTGTACAGAGCTCTTCCAGAGGACCTGGGTTCAATTCCCAGCGCCCACATCTGTAATAGGCAGAAACTCCAGTTCCAAGGACTCTGTTACCGACTTTTTTGCGGGGGGAGGGGGGGTGAGACAGGGTTTCACTGTGTGGCCCTGGCTGTCCTGAAACTTGCTCTGCAGACCAGGCTGGCCTCGAACTCACAGAGATCCGCCTGCCTCTGCCTCCAAAGTGCTAGGATTAAAGGCGTGCGCCACCACGCCCGGCTTCACACCTGTCTTTAAGAAGTCTTATTTGTTTTCCATATTTCAAAATTAAAATATGCCCATATATATGGGCCAGAGAGACGGCTCTGTTGTACAGAGCTCTTCCAGAGGACCTGGGTTCAATTCCCAGCGCCCACATCTGTAATAGTCTGTAACTCCAGTTCCAAGGACTCTGTTACCGACTTCTGGCCTCTGTGAGCGCTGCACACACATGACAAACAAACATACATCCAGGCAAAACACTCATACACATAAAATTGAAAAAATACACACATAAATAAAAAAGAAACTAAAAACCAAATGGGTTTAGAGAGATGGCTCAGTGGCTAAGAGTACTTACTGCTGGACCGGGGAAGCCAGGGTGGGTCCCCAGCAACCATATCTGTGGGTTTATAACATGAACTCAAGTACAAAAATACTCAAAATAATACCTATAATAATACAATAAACGAGTAAATAATAACTAATGTGTTTGTAGTGAGTCTGAACATGTGTGTGTACGTGTGTGTGTGTACGTGTGTGTGTGTGTGTGTGTGTGTGTGTGTGTGTGTGTGTTGTATGAAGCCAGAGGAAAATGCCAGGTTTCTTGCTTTATTCTTTTGTGACAGAGCCTGTCAGTGAACCTAGAACCTGGGGCTAGGGCTGTGGTGAGGACACCCTGGCCACCTTTATGTCTGGTGGGGGTGGGGTGTTACAGACCAGCACTCATCCATCGTTTATCACAGGTGCATGATACAGTCAGATTTTTTTGTCAGGACCAGCTGTCCCCAATCATGATACAGAGACATTATTAATTATTAAAGCTTGGTCGATAGCTTAGGCTTCTAACGAGCTCTAATAATTTAAAGTAAAAGATTAAAAGTTAAGCCGGACGTTGGTGGCGCACGCCTTTAATCCCAGCACTCAGGAGGCAGAGGCAGGTGGATCTCTGTGAGTTTGAGGCCAGCCTGGTCTCCAGAGCGAGTGCCAGGATAGGCTCCAAAGCTACACAGAGAAACCCTGTCTCAAAAAACCAAAAAAAAAAAAAAAAAAAAAAGATCAAAAGTAATCTTTTCATCTGTGCTCTTTTATGTTGCTCAGTTGCCTTTGCTCTGAATTGTCCATGCTGCTTCCTCCTCATCTCTTGGCGTCTCCCTTCTTCTTCCCAGCATCCCCTCTGCCCAGAAATCCTACCTAGGAACTGGCCATTCAACTTTTTATTAAACCAATCAGAGTGACAAATCTTCACAGTGTACAAAAAGGTTATTTCACAACAGCTGGGAACTCCAACTCAGGTCATCTTACCTGCACAGCAAGGGTTTGTGCTGAGAAAACCATCTATATAGACCTTTTCCTCCTCCTCCTCCTCCTCCTTCTGCAACCACTCTATCACTAAACTGCTACAGAAATTCACAGGGCCTTTTCTTTATTTGTTTGTTTGTTTGTTTTGAGACATAGTTTCTTTATGAAGCTTTGGTTGTCCTGTAACTCCCTCTGTAGACCAGGCTGGCCTTGAACTCAGAGATCTGCTTGCCTCTCTGCCTCCTAAATTCTGGGATGAAAGGCATGCACCACCACTGACCAGCTCATAAGGCCTTTTTAAGGGCCTCCTGGAGCCCTAAACTTTGCATTGTTATACCTGTCTCATTTCCCCTGGTCTGTGATGAGCATACTCTGATCTGCTCAGCTCTAGCCTTCCTGAACAGCTGCTAAGCCTTCTTGGTGCTAGAACATAGAGCACTTAGAGATGCATGCTGGGGTTTCACACGTAAATGCAGGCATTCACTCATGCAGCATTTCCTATGGCAGGCCCCAATTGCCTTCTGGGAAGACAGCAGTGCAGCAGACAGAGTTGGTCCTGCCTTGCAGGACTGAACAGGCTGTGGGTGAGGCAGTCGAGGGGACAAGGACCAATATTGAGCCATCAAAGTCCAAGGACTAAGCTGGAGATTAAAGGTATCCAAACTAAACCTAAGGAATTGGCCAACCAAAAAACAAGCAGTGTCTATTTAGAGAACAGAGTTTATAGACAGTCAGTTTGAGGAGCTGAGAATATCATACATTGTGGAAAGTATTGGAGGTGAGGATGGAGAACAGAGACAAGAAGGTAAAGGGCTTGCAGACACTGAAATAAGTTAGCTTACGTTCTGTAGGGGTGGGAGCTACAGGTTTGTAATAGGGATAACACAGCAAGCTTAGAAATCATAATTACCAGGGAGAGAGACTGTCACAAGGGTCCATGTATACTTAGCCCAGGCTTTGCCAAACTTGGAGTTCCTTGGGCAGTCAATCTGCAACAAATATCTGGAGAACTCTGGCTATGTGTCAGACCCAGCACCATACATAGTACCAGGCTTACATCAGGGGACAGGACAGCTATGGCTCCTGACCTCATGACAGAGCCACTGATCATGACTGTTCTTATTTCTGGGAGTTTAGGACAGAAGCTAGGGCTGCCAGGGCTCCTGAAGGCTGGTCTCAGTGACCTGTCCCAGTGTACTAATTAGAGAGATGATTAATAATGAAAAGCAGATAAGAGTGTCACATTAGGCAGAGGAACAGATAAGGGGGCAGTGATCTTAGGTCTGTCTTCTGGACCCTGGCATGAGCTTTAGGTTTAGATAGAGGAGGAATTGGGACAAGGGACAGCACATGTTGGTAAGGACTTCTGGTCAAAGGGTGGTCTGGTTAATCATTATCTCAGTTCTAGTTCTGGACGATGGCTCACAGGAGTCCATACTCTTTGAAGGGATAAGTCAGCTTTCAGGAGCTTGCTCCAGCCATCCCTTCAGAGACAACCACCCTCACAGGATGGCAGCGATGTCTGAAGTGTTCCCATGCAAAGTACACAAACTCCCGGTGCTGGTGTCGGCAACGCATGGCAAACAGGAAGTAGTCCAGGACACTCTGACACACGCTGGGCAGTTGGTGCTGTACCAGTGTCTCCTCCAGGAAGAAGCAGACCAGTGGTGCCTGATAGTGCTCTAAGACCAGCTCTCCTAGCGACTTGAGGATGCGTGTAATATTCAGGTTGTTGTGGCTGTGACTGTTCAGGTTGTGGAAGCATGGCTGGAAGTTCTGTGCACCGCAGACCGCACTGGTGTCCTGGTCCTCAAGTTGGACCCATAAAAGCCCAGCATGAGTTCATAGGTCCGGACAAGACGCTCTTTGACCTCCTCGAAGCTTTTAAATTCCTCAACCTCCTTGAGTGTGAGGGGCTTGGCATGCCGGTTCACTCCTGGTTCCCTCAGAGGAAACAGCCACTAAATATAGGAGTGATTCTCTTCAAGGAGGTCATAGTTGCCTTTCTAGTTGTGAAGAATTTCCTCAATGAAAAGACCATTTAGGCTGGCATGCTGGCTCAGAGGTTAAGAGCACTGACTGCTATTCCAGAGGTCCTGAGTTCAATTCCCAGCAACCACATGGTGGCTCACAACCATCCATTATGAGATCTGGTGCCCTCTTCTGATGTGCAGATATACATGGAAGCAGAATGTTGTATGCATAATAAATAAAATCTTTAAAAAAAAAGACCATTTGGCTGGAAGCAGATCTCATTTTTGTAGAAGCTCAGGTTAGACCTGTCGCCATTGTGGTCTTGATCTGCCACATCTGGGTAGTGGTGCCAATAACTTCACATGTCCTGCATGACTCACCAGTTTTGGCACCCTGTCATCCTGGACTGGAA